TGCTATGATCAAAGCTAATAAGTGTGCACAGATGCTTTGTCACTTCATATTGAAATCATTGACAATAAAGCAAAATGACTTGCACTGAAAGTAACCAGTAAAATTCGTAAGAAATGGATACAAAAAGAAGTATTGCTTTTAAAGAACAACGCTATTGGAGAGAAACTGCTGTTTGTAGAAGTTACATATGATGCTAAATCCGTAATCGTAGGCATCAAGCTTACAAAAAGAACAAATCAAAACTCATTTGCCAACGTGTTGACTTCAAAGGTGTTAGAGGGTGGTAACCCTAATGCTAGGCATCATGGGAAGGGGCTCGAGAGAGGGACGTTCTGTCATGGCGTTGAGTTGAGTTACTGTCTTGTTACTGTTAGAGCTCTCATTGAAACATGGTACCAGGAGTGTGAACAAACGCTGATTATTCTGCTGCTATCGATCTGCTATCGATCTGTCTTTCTGTGATCCTGTTTGTCTGTGAGTGTGGAAACTCGTCGATCGCTCAAACATACTGCCTAAGATCTTCACGCCAAAACCCTGCAAAACCAAGAGTTAAAAATGTCGGAAGAAGGACCCAAAGCTGCGGCCCCAGCTCAGGATCAAAATCAAGGTTTCTTTACAGGTAATATCATGAACTTTGAGCGACCCAAGTTCGATTCCCGCCGGGAGAATCAACAAGAAGAATTGAAAACCTTCAAAAAGAAATTTGGTTACATCTTCAAGGGAAGTCTTGTGAATATTTCGAATGAAAGCAAATGTATTTTGGTTCAAGATTGGCTTGGCCCTGAAGGTCAAAAGATATACGACAGCCTGGACTGGTTTGAAGGTGAGGATGTAAACGACTACGATCTGATGTGGACTAAGTTCGAGCGAGCGGTAAGTCCAGAATTTAATGAAATTGTTGCTTCTAAGAAATTTAAAGAACAAGTGCAAAAACCTGGAGAGTCAATAACTGCTTTTGTCACTGATCTGCTGCTGTTAGTGAAAGACTGTAATTATGTAGACGAAGATAGACAAGTGAGAGATCAGTTTGTTTATGGTGTCTCTGATGAAGAACTAAAGAAAAGATTGCTAATAAAAGGAAACACTCTCACAAGAGTTGCAGCTATTTCAATTGGCAAAGCTTATGAAAGTAGAAAGATTGAAGTCCAAGAGTGCAGTGCAAACCGAACTTTAGAAAAAGAGAGTATAAAAGGGGTTTCTAAAGATAAGCCCAAAAAAGCCCTCATGTGGAATTACTGTGCAAACAAGAAGGGAGCTCATAGCTTTTCAGACAAGAAACTCTGCCCCGCCTGGGGAGCAGTCTGCAGAAAATGCAAGGTCAAAAATAACTTTCAAGACTCAAAGGAGTGTAAACGCTTACAAAAAGGAAAACAGGAGAAACACTCAGATCCAAAACAATCAAAATCAACCTCAAAACCGTTTGTACTGAGAGTAGAAGAAGATGGTGAGGATCACTATTATGAAGTTCTTGACAAAATCTGTGTACTTAATCAAAACTGTGATCACAAGAAAGCTTTTGCAAACCTACTGCTGTCGAAGAAAAGAATTCCTGTTAGCTTTCAGATAGACTCTGGTTCAACATGTAGCATTCTCCCTGTGAATGTGTATAAAGACATCAGTGGAGATTATGATCTCACTGACCTTAACACTGTAGTAAAGCCTGTTCTGTCTCTCTATGATGAAGAAACCAAAATTCAGACCCTGGGAACCAGAAAAGTCTTTGTGTTAAATCCTGCAACCAGTAAAGAAATGATCATTCAGTTTAGAATAGTTGACAGAGACCTAACACCTCTGATCGGTCTAAATTAGTCAGAAACACTCAAACTCATTGAGCTCTTATGAGAGAATATTGCTCTAGTAGCCCCAGCTAACCCAAGTGTCCCTGTAACTGCCAGTGAAGTGACAACACCACTCACCTTGGAGGCAATTCTGACTAACTACCCTCAAGTCTTTGATGACAGTATAGGAAAGTTTGAGGGCGAACTACATCTTCACACAAGTAATGATGTCACTCCTCACAAAACAGCTCCTAGAGAGATCCCTCTCTCTGTGAAGAACAACTTTATTGCTGAAGTAAAAGACCTCCAACAGCAAGGTATAATTGAGAAAGTGACTGCGCCTACCGAATGGGTAAATGCTCCTACAATTGTAAACAAACCGTCTGCTAAGAATAGAATTAGACTCTGCATAGACAGCAGACCACTGAACACGGCACTCAAACGATCTGAGTACCCAATCCCAACTGTCGATCATCTGCTTACAGACTTTAGCAATGCTAAAGTATTCTCTCTAGCTGATATCAAGACTGCTTTTTGGCATGTACCATTAGATGCAGAAAGCTCCTTGCTGAAAACCTTTAATACCCCTCTTGGACGGCTGAAATGGAAAAGAATGCCTTTTGGCATCAGTGTTGCACCTGAAGAATTTCAAAGAAGAATTGATGAGAATCTAGAAGGATTAGAAGGTGTAAAAGCCATAGCTGATGACATATTGATCTGGGGAGATGGAGAAAACATTGAAGAAGCAACAGCTAGCCATGACAAGAGATTGCTTGCCTTGTTGGAGCGATGCCATCAGAAGAATATTAAACTTAATAAGGAGAAGTTCCGGCTGAGGAAGACTGAGTTGTTCTACATGGGTGTGGTCCTTTCAGACAAAGGAGTTAAACCTGACCCCAAGAAACAAGAATGTATTCAGTCAATGCCTGCCCCAACAAACAAAGATGAAGTCAGAAGACTACTTGGTGTTGTTACCTACCTCTCAAGATTTTCAGAAGACTTGTCAACCAAGTCAGAACCGATACGAGCTCTGCTAAAGAACAACACTTCGTTTATCTGGGAAGAAAATGAACAGAAAGCTTTTGATGAAATTAAGACTCTCATTCTGAATGCACCACTGCTAAGATACTTCAATGTGGCTGAACAAGTTGAAGTCCAAGTGGACGCATCATCAAGTGGTTTAGGAGCCTGCCTCATACAAGGCAGCCAACCTATACAGTATGCATCGAGAGCATTAACAGACACTGAAAAATGCTACACCCAAATCGAGAAAGAGATGCTTAGTATTGTATTTGGGCTCACTAGATTTCATACCTACACTTATGGTAGGAAAGTGGCAGTCTATAACGACCACAAACCCCTTGCTGCCATATTGAAGAAACCCGTTGAAGATAACCCTGTTAGACTTCAGCGAATGCTATGTAGAATCATGGGATATGATGTCAAATTCCAATATGTAAAAGGCAAAGACCTCTTTATTGCTGATGACCTGAGCAGATCTCAACCGACTAACCAGCACCGAAGCAAGATTGAACAAGAGATTGAAACGACAAGACTTGTTCATGAAAACAAAGCTTAACAAGCAACTTCGCTGAAATCGCAGAAGCCACTGCAGAGGACACTGTCTTA